TGTACAAGGCTGGTCTAGACTTTCATTACTGTAGTATTCTGAAAGTTGCTTCATATGTTATGCTTTTCTTCTAGTCTGTTTCCTTGGATGTACAGCAATTACCGTATGCAATTATATGCAGGAATGTCATTATTTCAACTTTTGGCTAAAATTGCCCTTTAATGTAGCAAAATTATGTAATGTGAAATTAGTTGTTCCCATTTCTTAAATTACATTAAGCCCTGAGGACTGCATGTGATGCTCGGTCACTGACTGGGATCCACATGCAAACACATATGCATGCATGTGCAAACACACAATGTATGAGATTGCTGAGGGAAGGGAAGACTGAAGCTCTCCCTGTTGCACCCCTGGCTTCATTGGGATTGATTATACTGGGAAGCACCATGTAAGGAAGGCTTGCCACATGTGCCCTCTTCCCCTAACTCAAGTCAGAAAGCCTGCAAAACATTTGTCACTCCATGTGCTCTCTTCCCTAAGACTATTGGGTAGGGGAAGGGAAATTGGAAGACGTCTGTAGTGGGCCAGACTTATGGCCTTTGAGGGTTACAAGTTGCCCATTCCTGTTTTAAATAGGTATTTTTCATCAGAGGTATATTTTCTAGAGTTGGTGTATGAAGTGGCTGAATTTCATTAGTGGGCAAAATTATGGCTGCATGGTATGTGCATTTATCTTAAGTATTAGAAAATGAAAGGATATTTACATAGAGCAAGGATATTTACATAGAACAGTGACTGATAAACATCTCTGTGGAGCCAAGCTAGATATTTTGCTGAATTTGTGTATCTCACTGGACAGAGCAAATGAAGGGTGCAAATCAGAATCAAGTCTTTATTTGAAAGGGAGTATATTATCTAAGTGCACTTTGTAATACGGTGAAAAGAGATTTGTTTAAAGCCGGCCAAGTAAGGGGTGCAGATGGTAAGGTGCACAATCAGTGGTGAATAACAAACCTATGCAGTGGCATTGTATTACTGTTATACCACATACTGTCACTTGGTTTAGATTTAATATTTCTACTACAATAACTTGCAATTTCTCAATGTATGAACAATTACAAACTTGAACACTCCTTTCTGCCCCCTTTTCTTCTATGTCCCAACTTGAAAGGACACATTTTATTAGATAAGATTGGACATAATGGAAAACTGACCTGGATTATCATGGTGGCAATTTCTTGGTTGTTTAATCAAGGAATTGAGGGGATTAGTGGAATGCACAAACAGCACATTTGGCATTTCTGCTTTTACTCAACAATCCTGGGTTCTTTTGTGATGTCTGAGCCCAGAAACTCTGGATAGTTTATGGGTTCAATAATTTGGAGTTATCTGAACAACAAAACATAGACGTTTGTTGACATAACTCTGGGTTGTTTAACCCACTGGACCCTTGTTCACACACATGCAAGTCTCCTCTCAGGCAAAGCACATAAAATCTGAGGACAAAGGTATGTTCTGCTTATTCATGCACTAACAAAAGATTTTTAAAATGTCAGCATTACCCCTCTACTGGATCTATGCCTGTTTTTTCAAAACTGCTGATTTGACTTTCAGCTTCTTATGTAAGCTTTATTTGTGCGTTCTATATCATGGTTACACATTTTTATATTAGCCTACATATGAGTAGTTGGCTCTTGTTGATATTTGGAAATGTGGAAGCATTGTTTGCAAAATGTCTAGAATTCAGGGGGCAGAGAATGTTTGTCTTGATTGGCTTCATGCTCCATCATTATGGCTTCTAGTTCTATTTTCCTTCCCACATTCTATCGACAATAAGAATATAAAATGCAAATATGTCACACATTCTTTTGATAGCAAATACTCAGGAACTATACCCATACCTCTGCAGAAAAAGTGTCAATTTCACTTTAATTTGACAGCAAAACATCAATTTCATCTCAGATATTCTGTTTCAAATAGAAATTTAAACAAATAGTTCCTGGAGCTCTGGTAATAAACCTTAAACATTTATAGCATGAATACAACTAAAGGTTTTACACATATCTGCACAACTGTCTTACTGTGTATTCTGAAAAAATAAGGAACTGCCAAATGCAACTGGTTTGATTTTTAAACACTTTCATACCTATAACTAAGTCAGACATCAGTCTTGGCTATGAGAAACAGATGTTTATATAGCATCTAGTATACCACACTCCCAGACTATTGCTAGTATTAGAAACTTGCAGCCAAAGAATTGCTAGTTCAAGTCAGTATCAAAATTCAGCTCGAACTGCACTGTTTCTTTTTCTTAAGTTTGCAAGCTTACTGTATTACAGAAATTTCAAGATTTAAACCTAGTAACACTATCTTATTTAGCTCCCTTGCTTGCTTGAGATTTTCTTCTTTCTTGTATTACATCTCTGGGTTATTGAATGGCCTTAAATGGACTTGGTTCATTCCTACTTTCTTCTTAGTTCCTTCTTTTCTTCTGTTCCATGTCTCCATCATTCCTATTGTTTCCACAGGCATCTTTTTTACTTCAATGCTTTTGTTGCATTTCTTAGTCACATGGTCTCTTATCCATCCTTTCTAGAACTTTCTCTCCTGTATAGTATACAGACTTTGTGCTGTGAAGTTCCTCAAAGTCTTCAGTGTTAGTTCCATGTCTCCTTTGCTCTTTTCCTGAACTCGCCATCTCCACCTACTTTTTCTTTAGGTTCTCCTTCTCATCCCATTGCCGTACACAAGTGATTTTGTATCCTTGCCTGTAGACAGGAAAACAAGAAGCATCTCCTTTTTTGATGTTTTAATAGCAACTAAACTGACAGTTTCCCACAGAACAATGGGCTAGAAATTCAGTTCCCTAAACAACTAAACATTCTATGCCACCACAGCAATTGATTTTGGAGGGTTCACTGCTGTGTAATACAATACAGATTATTTCATTTCGCCATAATCTTGGTGTCCCTATTTTACTTAACGAAAGGCAGGGTATCTGAATAATGTGTATGTATGTACATATATGGGGGTGACAAACAAGCAGGTGCTAGAGCATATTAAACCAGACGTGTCCCTGATTGGCAAGATCACAAAGCTATTTTGGCCATGTCATGTATTCAGGGTCATTAGAAAAAGATATAATGCTTGGAAGGCTCAGCGGCAAGAGAAAACCTGGTCACCAAAGGTGGTTAGACTCCATCAAAGAGGATGTGGGACAGAGCATAATTCAGCTGAAAGAGGTGGCATGGGATCACTTATAGTTGGACATAACTGAACAGTTGAACAACATCCAGAATAATGTCTCAGCCTTAGAATCTACAGAAATATTGATGATGATGATGATGATGATGATGTATCTGATCATGTACCTAGCATATGGTTTTGCCACTGAAGAATACTGCATCTTACTGCTTTCTACTGACTTGGCATGTCGCTGCTTGTCTTTTGCAATACATTCACTTCCACAGACCACTCTTCTTTTTCTTCTTCCTTCCGTCAAATTCCTTCTCATCCAAATTCTATTCTTTGTTGGTTCCAGTCTAGAGATGGAAAGACTTTGGCAGGGTGATAACTGGGACTAGGGGGCGAGGAATTCTTTTGAAGAACTTTTTAAGGCAAGATTTTAAAATACTGCTTAGCTGTTTTCAAGCACATGGTTTCTAATAACTAAGACATAGACAATCTATAATACTGGGGGATTGTAAAATGTAAGTTGTCAAATTGTTTTGGTAGCTTTCTCAATGTTCTTCTGCATGTGAAAGAGACTTTACTATGTTTCTTAAAATGGGTACATTATAGTGTTGCACAGTTTGAAAGTTCAGACTCAAACTATTGATCTTTTACTAATCAGAATAGAATAGTATTTTTCAAAGATTTCTTTATTGTTGAAATTCCACATCAGTTTCATTAAAAATTGAAACTGCTTACTTTTCTAAGTCATGAGCAGACAAAAGGTAGAATAGGATGTACTGGTAGACCATTGGGTGATCTACTGAGATTAGTAAGGGTTTCTGACTTTCAACTGTTTCACAGCAGCAACAAAAATAAGGCTTTCTCTCTCTGTGAAATTAGTACCCTAAAATGAAGAAAGTCAGTAGTAGATTTTTGTGTTTGTTTTGGTACTGGAAAAGGCCATCCAGTTCCTTAAGTTGAAGTGCATTATCTCTGCCCTTCCCTATTTTTCATCTGGCTTTGGCTGGTGAAGCATATTGGTCAGGTGAAAAAACAGATTCTGCAAGGTTGAAGTCTGCCTATCACTGCTCTAGCTTATGTCCCATGTTCTGTGCAATGTGACTTTGATTTAAATCAAATTGATTTAAATCACTAGTCAAAAGACTAGATTTAAATCATGGTTTTCTTCATAATTTGCATGCGTGCCTGCTGTACTTGTAGGTAGAGAAATGTCATTAAAATATTCCCAAACCAAGTATCTTTTATGGCCTGCTGCCAGTATAGGTTTTCTCTTCCAGGGAAGGAATAATATGACAAACATACACAAAAAGTTTCACTTTCATTTTTACTGCTTCCCTCTCCCTCATCACACTAGGCTTCTTGTGCAGATCTATTCCAGTTCCAACAATCTTCTTCTATTCATTGAATTTTTTGAAACTCAGCACTTAAGAAGTAAGGGATTGAATCTGTTTACATAGATTTGCAAAGGAACAATAGGATTAAGGACTTTTTTTCAATTGTCTATGTTTATTTTATAACATTTTTTCTGCAAAGAAGGGGCATATGATCTCTAGAGACACAAATTCACAGTTTTGAGAACTGTAAAACCAAGCATCTGTGATAATATCTTCTAGCTAGAAAAATTGCCCAATAATCTTACAGATCTTCTGGAAGAGCATGACATTGTGAATGGATTAATGAAATTCATTTACCAAACAATTTAAACACTGCATATACAGCCTCATGCTACATAATTAAAAACACATCCTTATTTCATGATAAACAACTTTTGGACTATTATGTATCTGAAATAGAAAACTATTTTTAGATAGATTTTTCCTCAAAAGCACTTTATTAAAAAAATCCACTTTAAATAAATCTGATTTAAATAAATCAATTTTTAATTATTTTTAAATAATTGATTTTTATTCACCCTGGTTCTGTGTCAAACTTTTAAATATATGAAACCTCTGAGAAATGCTATCTGGAGATATCAGTTGGTACAATCAGTATGCAGGTAATCCCCAACGTGCTCCTTTTTGTCTGACTGGGGGGGCTGTAAAGACTCTGAACCTGTGGCTACAATTAGTGAAAGATTGTATGCTTTTCTTTGTTTCCATCTTTATGGTGTCTTATGAAGAAAGAGTATGTGTTCTTATCACTACTGCTAATTTTGTTTTATTTTGCTACTTTCTTATTGAACTTGTTTATTTGTGGATGTTTTGTTTTTACTATTGGTATAAGATAGTGTGTAATTAATGTGCTTCATTGTGTTTTACTATATTTGCTTATGATTGTTTTGTTCCAGATTCCTTTGGTGCATAAGGAAATATGTTTTTATATAAGAGAAAAATGGGGACTAGAGCTTCTTAGCCAATTCTGATCTCTGCTTGGCTAAAAATCCCTATAATATAAATACTGATGGGAGCTGTTGCTGAAGAGTAAACTACATTCTTGTTTAGCATGGAATTAGAAGTTTATCATAATGTGAAGCAGCAGTTTATTTCCATATGTCAAGCTTTCATACATCAGAAGTATGTTGAGACAAATTCCATTTTGCTTGACAGTAAATCCATATAAATTAGATTGGCTTCTTGAGAATATAGACTGGGTAGACCCAGTCAGAATCAGGCATATGATGTAGCAGTTTTGTGATTGCTTCATCACCTTTTAGTTCAGCCTAGTCTTACTTGCCTCCATAAGGGCGACAAAAATGTTTTTGATAGTGGTGTTAATAGAAATAGGGTCAACTCAATATGGCGGAGCAATTGTATGGCCACTTCACTTTGTGTTTTCATAGAGTTACCAATTTTTCATTCTCAGTCTGTGCTGGTTAATCATATAAAATGCACTGAGTGCACTTAGTGAGAACATGAAGTGCATAGACGTTATTCCTCTAGCTCTTAAAACCATTAAAGAATAGGCCCTTCTCCTGCTAGCTACCTACCTCAGTTCATTTGGTGGGGGCGCCCAAGAAAAGGATTGCTACGGATTATTTTTGTGCCTGCACAGGAGAAGATGACGCTTTAGGTAGATGTTAAGAAATACAGGGGATAGGTTGGAAGACATTGAAACCCACAGTGCCTTATTTTCTCCTCTCTTGAACATGCCTATTGTGTGACACATGATTTGCCTAGTTAGCATTGTCACTTCTCATGAACTCGGCAAGGTATATTTGAAATCACACCAGATCCCTACAACAAGCTAGACGTCCTTTGGTGGTTTCAAAGCCACCTGTGCTATGCACCTGTTTGGGTTTGGATGACACAAGAAGCTGCATGCTGTTAGTGTAATTAGGCAAATAGTGTGAAATGTAAGCAGCATGCAGGGAACTGGGAAAAGAAGCTACTATGGCTTCTTTTGTCCTGTGATTTTGCAGACCTGGCCTTTATGTCTGAACTTGGGCAACTGTGATTTATTTTTAAAGTATTCAGTTTGAGCAAACCTGGATTAGACCTTTGTTTCAGATGCTGCTTTGATAACTAACCACAGTTAAGATCAGTGACAGTTTAATGTTTTGATGTTATTCAGAAATGAAAACAGAAGCTTTCAGTCTTCTCGCTGTGTATGCATGAGAATATAAAAGGAGATGAAATATTAAACCATAGACTGAATTGAGCCACTGTGCCTTTAATATTTTTTGTACTGAGAGATCATTACAAGGATGGAATAAGACCATGAACTCCTTTAAAAAGGTGTAATGACATGTCTCCTGTACTGTTTTTAAACATTTTAAGATCTATTTTTGATCTCTCTAACAGAACACCTGTTCTCAAGTATTATTAGGATATGTACCATTACTTCTAAAATACAGAATGGTTTCGTATGCTGTTTTGCTGGTAGTATTTTTAACTGTTTGGATTTTCCATCACCAAGGACTTGGTTCATTCTTCACCAGAGATCATAATTTTTTGCTACTTGGATAAGTTGTTTTTAAGGTTGTGTTTGTGTGCTTCCTTCTCATCTCCCTCCCCTTTCTGCACATCAGAAGGGGATAGTAGAAACTTTCATGCCCAGTTTTTAAAAAGCACTGTGAAGGCCAAACTTGGCAAACTGGTGTTTGTTTAAACAGTGGTTTCAAAAGCAAGGTTTGCTGTCATGAAGCATAGCATAATAACCACAATTTCTTTAGTTTTGACATCTTGTGCATGAAAGAAGAGAGGCAGTGTAGGTGTTTCACTACCTAATCCTTAGTTGATGGTAGAATTCAAGCTAATAGCAAAACAAGATTTAATAGCTATTAGTACCTTTAAGTCTTCCACATTGTTATGGTTCATACATCTATTAATAATTATTTCTTACCTCAGTCATCATGAAGGCTGTTTCTTATAGCTACCATGCAATGTCAGGCTATGCATAGTACTTTTCAAGCTGTTCAGTCTCATGTCTACCTCTTGGTATCCCTATTAAACTTTTCACAATGATTTAATGTAATTGATAAGTGAATATACTAGAATCAGTGGTTGCACTGTTTTGATAAACTTTTTTTCCCCTAGCCAAGACAAGTGGATAACAACAATTTGCATGAATAGGTAGCAAAACTAGGAATGAATTGTAAGAACAAACATGCTGCCGATGCGTAGTGTTTAATTGTGGTTTGATTATGCAACAAGGGATCAGATTTTAATAGCTGTACAGGACGGGAACCCCAAAAGTCAGGTAGTGAGATAGGTTCCAGCTGTGTGTGCATGTGTGTGCTTATGTTTGCATGCTTATGTATGTGTGCTAAATTGACAGTGGCACGACTAAATATTAAAAACTATTGACTGTGATACCACAACAGTAATTCTATTTCTTCTCCTTCTCAAGGCATTTTTGCTTACTATGACTATTTTACCCCCAGGGGCCTGAACTAGCCAAGGTGCCTCAGGTTCAAGAAAAATGGAAGAAAAGAAACCACCTGTGTCAAAGATGATATATAGTTTATGGAATACAATGATGAAATATGGATGCAGGGCATAAAGAAGCCAAAGAATGCTTATGCTTTCCTTTATCTATGCTGATATTGGTTCCCTGAATAGGCCAGGGGATTCTCCATGTGCCTCCAAATTTGCCTGGGTGAGTGAAGTGTCAATTCCTCTCCCCGAGCCAAGGACAAAAGACAGTGTCTCTTGCCATGGATTTTGTAAAGGTCCTCTCTTCTACTGTTGTAAGTCTATCAATACGCAAGCTGTAACCCATCCCACCCATTTTCCTGAGACAAAGAGGGCATGACGTTTCTTCATTAAGGTAAACCATTTTGTTCTCACAGCAAAAGCGTCCCTTATTTCCAGAAAAGTTGGGAAAGGCACCTTCAAGGCATCTTCCTAACAAGCTGAAAGACATAGGGCTTGACTTGTCTTTAACAAACAACCTTGGCTTTTGAACAGTGGGAAGGTTCACTAAACTGCCCGTTGAACCTTAATAACCTTGCCTTTCTTCTGTATTTCCCTTATAGTACAAGACCAAGTGGGGAAAGTTAACTTTTATTTACAGTAAATGTTTCCTTTAAAAGAAAGTATGATCATAGTGGTTTGTAAGAAAATGTCTTAAAAGAACTGTCCTAAATAAAATGTCCCTGACCCGACTGGTTTTCACAACTGTTGTCCTCTTTCAAACATAACATATCTTGGCAAAGTGCTCAAGCACATAGTGTGGCCTGAGTCCAGGTATTCTTGGATGAATGATTATTTAGATGTGTTTCAATCTGGCTTTCTGCCAGTTCTGAGTCTGAAACCCTGCTGAATGACCTTGGCATGAAAATGGACAAGGGGTTGAAACTATGCTTTTTTCTCCTGGAGTGCTATCTCCTTTTTCAACTTGTGATCTTTGGGAGATGACAGAAATTCTATACTAGGATTTAGATGTTCTAGAGTGAATAAGGATAGAAAAATTGAAGGTTAATCCAGACAAGATACAAATACTATACCTTGAAGGTTCTTGTGATCTAGGAATAGGTGTTCAGCCTGTTTCTGCTGGAGTCATGATCTCAGTTTGATACTCCTGGATCCAGGTCAGGTTTGGCTGTTGCATGAACTGCTTACTTTCCTTAAGAAGTTGGACCTGCCTCAGTTGTCAAAATTCTAGTTGCTTCCCAATTGGTTAATTATAATACTTTTCATGTGGGATTAATTTTGAAAAGGGTTCTCAAATTTCAATTGAACTATAATTTAAATACAAGGATACTGTTTAGAGTGGGTAGATAAAAACAGTAATTTTATACTAGCTGCCACTGGTTACTAATTTGTTCCCAAGGTCACTTTAATGTGCTAATTATGCCTGCTAAAATTTTAAATGGTTTGGGACTTGAGTCCCTAATGAATTGTCTGCACTTATATTAATTGTCCTGACATTTGAGATTATCTTTAGAGATGCATTGTGCCCACTGTCTCAACTAAGGTGAATAGTGTACAAGGGACAGGGCCTTTTCATAATGGTGCCAGTACTCTAGATTTCTCTGCCAAAGAAAGTCTGGCTGTTGCTTGTCTTTTGATGAACAGCTAAGATGCACTTCTTTATGTAGGCTTTTTCAAGTAAGTTTTGGTAATGTTTTTATAGATTTTTTTAAAACTTTCAGACTAATTTATTTTATCATCTTTCTGTTTTATATTGTTAGCCACCTTGAATATTTTTGTTTACCATCATAATGTTGTCATATTAAACATCAGTCTTATTAGTCTTAGTAGTTAGGGTATATGCACTGCAATACAGTTGACAATTTAATTGTTAGCCCTTCCTGGCTTGTGTCCCTAATAGAAATGGGTATTTCAATCCATATAGAAGATTGCTGCAAGAGACAAGGCCTTCTCACTTGTCACCCCACTTAAGGAATGCCCTCCCCAAAGGGGTTTCCTGGCACCTGCATTGCTATCCTTTTGGTACCATGGAAAGATCTCCAAAATTCCATTTTGGAAACCCTAGTTCTCTCCTTAGTTTGGAGTCTACATTGAGCAGGAAGTTTGGACCTAATGACCTCATTGGCTCCTTTCAGCAGTACTATTCTATGATACTAAATTTTTATGACTGTTTTATTTATTCCTTTGCTAATAGTTTTGTACTTTTATTCATTCTATACTTTCTAGCATTTTAGGGATATTGATGTGTACATTGTATTAGGTTCATGGGGCATGTGGGTGGAGAATACATCATCATACAGATGGCTTGGGGGGCGGGGATATAAATTCCTGACTTGCCATTCCGTGGAAGCTTCAAGACCTGAAAAAGTTGTGCACTCTGGTGCTTTTTATGCTATTCAGAGGCATGTTTATTTTATTTATTTATTTATTTAGGAGGCTTCTATGCCGCCCCATTCGCCGATGTTTACTTAGAAGCTGTGGTTGTGAAGTCCCCTGACACTGAATAATGTTTGACTAATGAAGTATACAGCTGCAGTAGGTTGGCTGTCTGTAATGCTTCAGCGATAAAATATCCTCAGAACTAAACAGTACCTGGTGAAAAGCTTGTAATCCTAGAAAAATGCAAATTGGTTTCTACTGGTATTGATACTTCTGTTTTATTTGTGAGGGAAAGAAACAATTAGGTAAATTTTACTAATGTTCATAATTTGACAACTGATTCCACAACATACTAGATTCTAGTACAGTATTTCATTAGTATCTGACAAAAATCTTTGAGAATATTCTGTATTCATCCAAATGTCTAGCGCAGTCATCTTGGTTCTCTATACATTGCATGGCAGCAATGTAACCATTCTTGTCATTTGTATAATCCTCATTAATATAATCTCTGAGTTGTCAGTCACTTATATGAGCCTCTGTTCCAGCTGATCATATATCAGTGCCCTTGCCCTAGAAGTACTCCTACTGTTTGTAAGCCTAGTAGCAAGCATGTTTTGCTCTAAGTATCTATAATATCTGCTTTATAATATATTAACCCATAAACCCTATAATAACCATAATATGCTTAAAAGCATGGGTGAAAGATTCCCCCAAATATATTTTGCAAGTTGATAATATCTATGTAAGTCTCATGTTTAAATTATGTGGATTTTTTTTCAAGTCTACAGTCTGTTTACAGAAAGTTTTTGTCTTTCACTGTGCTATTCTAAAGCTTTCACTTATACATAATAGTTCAATTTTCATTCTTCTTCCCAAATGAAATCTATTTGACACTGCAGTATCCATGCATCTACAGTTAAGTGCACATGTCTAATAGAAATTAGCGGGACTTAATTGTGATCAACGCTAGCTGAAATAAGACTCTTTCTTCTATCATTTTGACATAGCTAAATTTTGGAAAGAATGGAAAGAAATAAAGTTGAATCATTTTTATGATGTAAAATGAAAAGCTGCTATGATGGGCACGATAAGGAAGTATTTATATTATGTATTTCTGCTTCATTCATTCATATTTTAATATGAATGAAGTTACAGGAGATTCCTATGTTGAGTGGGGTGCTAGTGCAGCTCTTTCATGGGGCCAAATTTCCTAAAATAATTTTTCTTAAAAATTCAACAAATCTATAGATAAACTGACATTTACTCAATTGTGCAACTGTGTTAGGAATTGTAAAATGTTTGACTTTTCTTAAACTGTTAATAATGAATCTCTTGGGAAATGGTGAGTGTCCTGATAAAATTCTGGCACATCTTACGTAGCAAAAATAAAGAAATTTTATTTCAGCTTATGAAATATCAGAGTGATACACACCACTGTCATTTTTATATATTTAATGCCCCAAAATGTTTTCGAGATATATATATCTGTAAGAATGTGCACAGTATCACACTATTGAATTGCTTTTGCACCAAGGGCAAGCAAATCCTAGCTTGTAAACTAAGATTGCAAATAATGCAAGCCTCTTGGGGTACTACCATTGTCACAAGAGAAGGAAGAATGTTTAAGCTTTTTCTTTGCTTTTGGGCTTCCTCTTCTTGCTATATATGTGGAAGATCTGTTTCTGTCTTCTTGACAAGGCATCACAGGATTGGGAGCAGGTATAAAACAACAAAAAGGAGCTGAAAGTAAACTTACTTGAAAGGTAAGAGTTTAAATTTATCTGAATTCAGAAAGTTGAACCATATTTAAATTGTATTACTTTATCTTCACAACCTTTATGTAAATTTAATTCCAATTAATCTAATGCTTTCAAGCCACCCAACCCCACCACCATGACTTAGTGTTTTATCTTTATTTCCCTCAGCAAAATGATGAGACCAGCATCTAGCATATGGACACATTTTCACACTGCAAGTTCTTCTGAGGGGAAAGAAGCATTTCCAGCTAATACTGGGATGTCAAAAGATATCTTTGTGTTATGTAAGAAGTGAACTGTAGGTGGAAAAAAACCATGAATCTGAGTGAGGAGGACCATGCAGAAGTGTAAGCAGGCTTTCCCGTTGTTCTCATTCCAGAAATCCTCTTTCTGTTCCTTCTATGACACCAGCATCATCATAAAGAGCTTTTCCATCAGCAAGGTGCATCTTCAAGTAAACAAACATTAAAAAGAACCACATCCCCCCACTCATCCAAAACCCCCCTAAGTATATTCACTTACAGACAAGTTGACACCTGAAGATGAGAAAAAAAATATGCAAGCTCTTGCATGAGCAATGTATTCTTTTGGAATCCCATTGTTAATAATGGAAAACACCTACTGACAAGAAGTTTTTAGATTACTAAGGGGATCACACATTTTTGTGAGCAGACATTCTTTGAGGTATCTTCCTTTACAGTCAATGTGGATGCATAATGGAATCTGCAAGGAAGTTTTGATGATGCATTGTGTCTTGCAATACATATGGATGGATGATCAGATGCGAAAGGGAAAGGAATCATAACTGTTGTGATACCACATCAGCCTGTTTATTTTCAGATGCTTTGAAATGGGAGAATAGACATGCTGCAGAGTAAAATGTGTAAAGTCCTACATGAGGATGGTAAAGTATTAGTTTTGTGGACTTAAAATACAAGATATGAAAATAGCATTCGATAAGTATCCACATACTATTGCAATTGAATATGTATGCCATGGACTAAATTTGTTTCTTCATGATATCATGAAGTTTAACTGTACACCCTCTAAAAGATCTATATATGAGCAAAAGTTATAAAGCACATTAAAGTTGTATTGTAGTGGCATTCTTCAAGAAGAAGCAAGAAGAAATAAATGCAATGGATTGAATAATGAAACTGAAGCTCTGTAATGCAACTTCATGGAGCAGAATGGTGCTCTTTGAAACTTTACCCCCCCCCCAAAAAAAACCTGTACTGAGTGGCCAAGGTCTTGTACTTTGTACAAATAGATTAGTCTGATTATAAGGAGAAGGTGGTGAGGTAGAGATGGGTAGATGAGCTGGCAGTTTTAAGGTTACCTAGTGAAGATTCTCAAGCAGGGTGTGAGAACTATTCTGCCTTGGGAAAAGGAAGAAGCATTTCAAAGCTGGGTAGGGAGATGGTGGAGAAAGAATTCCTTAACCCTGTCAGGGAATGGCAGGTGAAACAAATGGACCAATTTATGAATGTATGATTTTTCCACCATCTAATCCTTAAGCAGCAGGAACTACCCTGATGGTGGAATTAGATGCTTTTCTGAAAGGGGGGGCAAGAGGGGAAGTTTCAGTTTGTATTCAGTTCTTCGCATAGACTGATGCTTCTCCCGCATCTCAGGGAGAATGCTGCTTTGATTTGTATTTATTTATGCTCTGTTAAGCTTTAATAAAAGGACTACACTTCTGAACTCTCATCTGAGTCTGTGGGAAAGCAGAGGAATGAGGGAGAGACCTGCTCATCAAGAAACAATGGTAGCTGAAGATCTTGAAATACCCAGGAGTGGTAGGAACATTATAATTGATTAGGATGACTTATGAATTCAACTGCAGAACTCCTTGAAGCTCCTAAAACCAGTTTCTTCAGCAGTTATTGCAAGAGAATCAAGAACTGCATTTTGGTTGAAAATTCCTACCAAATGGCCAAGGTACAAACTGTTTTTGAAAATTCAAGTCTGTTTCCATTTACAAGTACCAAAGAAACTAAAGTGAAAGATTATATTAAGAAACATGAAGAATGCTGTTGTAATTAAATTCATGCTGCTGGATTCAAGATTCAAAGACAGAAATTTAAATGAGGCTGCATTTGAATTGATTACAAACAAGTAATGGTGTGAAGGTACTTTCAAATGTTGCAGGATACAGAACATCGTTATTTGGTCCAGGAATGCCAGTTTCTGAGATTCTGCCAAACGTTTTCCTCGTGCAACATGGAAGCAAGGCCTCTTTTGTTTTCTGCCTACTTCTTTTTCTTGCATCCTTCTTCAGATTCCTCCATCATCTTCATAATGCAAAGGAAATAAATCAAAATTTGACAGTACACTACATCAAGAAATAAACTATTGTGTGAAAGATTAGAAAGCTTGTTTCAATCTGGGCAAATCCTCAGGTTTTAGCAATCTATAATGAGGACAAAAATGTATACATAGAAGTAGAAAGTGAAACTGATAGTTATCCCTCAAAAATTAGACTGATTAAATTTTATGGGTATTCATATAATTTTGATTAGACCTCATTCCCATCCCTCCTAGATTATTTCCTGTCCTTTTTATGGGATATGTGCTACATGTCTGCTTGGTGCGGTGGGAGAGAGAACCAGAGGAGACATAATTTTCTTTATAATAATTACAAAGTTGAAAAATATAATAATTCTTCATAATTTATGATTTTTCTAATATATAACCTATGTCACATGATTGGTTGTGCTATCTCAGCCCAGAGAACTATGAATAAACCCAGCAGTATTTGTTTTGTTTTGTTTTGTTTTGTTTTTTTTTGCCCCACATCATTGATAATATAGCTAATGCTTATTGTAACCCTATGTTTTAGCAATGCCCAATAGTTGGCTTTTTCAAGGTTGAGGTTATTATATGGATAAACTTCACATTGCCACACTTTTTAATGTTTCTTCTCAAGTGGCTTTGCCAACAGCCATATTTCTTCAGTTGGCAAATGCACAGGGCACCGCCCTTGGGTGATGCTGAAGGGTGGTGGCACAGGGCATCATCTGTTTGGCACCAGTTTGATGTGGGTTCAGGCACCAGGACCTTTGGTGGGGTCAAGGATAATTATAGGAATGTATTTTTTTTATTATTTGCTTTATTTATGTATTGTTTATCTTACTGTATTTTATTGTAAACTGCCCAGAGAGCCTTGTTGGCTAAGGGGCAATAAATAAATGTAGTAAATAAAATAAGTGATCTACAGTTAGCACAAATGGATTCTCTGTGCCCTTTGAACAACTAAAAAACTCTGATATGAGAACATTGCTAAGATAAACCTTCACTTCCTGAATGGAATGAATTGACATAACTTTTAACTTTTGAATGGGTGGGATAAAGAAACAAACTGGAAATGATTTCTTACATGGAATTTGGTCTGCTTTGTTGAAGTTTCTGTATACTGCTTGGAAAGTTTTATTTTCATATATACAATATGCATTCATTGAAATTTATATATTCAAATCATCATAGCTGTAACTTCCTTTTTATTTTGTTTTGTTAAATTTTTACAATCTAAAAAGATGGGTACTAAGGAACCTACGTAACTGCAGTTACATAAGCTTTTAAAATGGAGGATTGGGATTGTCACAGACTGGGATGTGAATGGCAGGAAACAAGTCAGAGGCTCCAGAATCAGGGCAACAGAACTCAAGACAGTACAGAAACCAAAGTCCAATAGCAGTAAGTCCATTTCATAGTCAGATAATAGCTCATGGTCAGAAACTGGAAGTATGTATTAGGACAAGACAAAGATGCGGTGATGAACAAACCAGTGTAGCAGTTTGTAGCGGTTAAGAGCATGGGACTGGGACTCAAGCAATCTGGGTTCTAGTGCCTGCTCAGCCATGGAACCAACTGGGTGACTTTGAGCCAATTACAGCCTAACCTACCTCACAGGTTTATTGTTGTGGGGATAAAATTGAGAGCAGGAGGAGAATTGTATAAACCACTTTGAGCTCTTTGTAAGAAGAAAAGGCAGGATATTGATCTAATAAATAATAAGCCAAAGGTCAAGGACTGAGAAAACGGGTGCAGGTAGGCATGTAGAATAACTGGGCAGGGTTTGGGAGCAGTGAAGGTATGGCAGGCATGTTGTGAGTTAGCAACCAAGGGCAAGGAATGTGTTCCAGCAAGGGCCAGGCAAGATACAGGAGTTGGAACATGCTGCAGCTAACAAGAAAACCGGCAATACCAAGCAAGAAAAGTAAGGCAGGAAGCAAATGCAGCAAAGGTCAGGCAAGGTGCAGAAGCTGAGGTACATTGCAACTAGGAGGAAAATCTGCATTGTTGAAGTGAGACAGAAGGGCAGAAACAGGCAATATACAGGCACTACGGTAAACAAAGATCTGTGTTGCTGTGACAAGATTTTGGAGGAAACAGCTTACTTTTATATATCCCTTTCTCCAGGGCTCTCAGCTGGTACTCACCGGGTGACTGAGAGCTCCAGCAGGGCCTGGGAACAATCCTGTGAGTACTGAGGTGGTCATTCTGGTTCTGGCCAATAGATGGAGCCCCAGAATAGCACAGATCCTGAGAGAGTTAAGGGCACATAATGTATTATTATATTTACATGCCACCTTTTTCTTTCGAAGAAACTCAAGGCAGGTTACATTATTCTCCTCTCAATCTTACCCTCACAACAACAAGCCTGTGAGGTGAGTTGGGCTGAGAGTCTCTGAGTGGCTCAAAGTCATTCAGTGAACTCCATGGCTGAGTGGGAACCAGAACCCAGGTTGCCTGGGTCCCAGTCCTGCACTCTTAATCACTATGCATGTTTAAGTGTTCTAAATGAAGAATTAATGTAGCTCAAATGTAGCCTGTTATCTGAGCCACAGTTTCATAGGTTTGGGTCTCACACATCTAGTGATTACTTAAACAGAATTGTGTTTCTGTATTCCTTATCAAGAAAGTTTGTTTACATCCTAACCTTTTTTCGAGGAACTCAAAGCAGCTTACATAATCCTCTTCCTCATCTCAATTTTTATCCCTACAGACTCTTGTGAGACAGGTTAGGCTAAGTTATTTCTGGCCAAAAAGTTTCCTAAGTGACTTATAACAAATTCAAAAATACAAGTTACATTTCTTTTGTCGTCCATCAGATGCTAAAACAATATGCATGGAAAAGTATCTGCACGTGGATTTGTTATATAGGAAGTGTACAAGGCTTCTATATGGGAATCATAAGCTATCTAGAAATATGCCAGAACTTAATAAAAACAGCTTTTTACTTTCACCATTTTACTTGTGCAATAATAGTACTTTCACTAATAGGTTTTGCCCAGACATGATTTTTTTCCCCCGATAAAATTGAATTAACGGTTGGGTTTTATTTTGACAATGATTTTCGGAACCATTTAGAATATGAAGCTGGACAGCTGGAGCTTGCTTTTACATTGATCAGAAGCAAATTTATCTTTGTTTGGCACACTGATCTGATACCATACAGGTTGGAATTCAGCTCTCATTCAGCTCTAGGCATGGTAACAAATGGTCGAGAATCCTGGATTTGGAGAACAAAAATCCTGGTGGACACCAGATGTTTGTAAATCTTGACATGTATTTTAGGTATTCACATAAATGTCACATTTTTATATCAACCTTGCAGCTTTCTGTTTTAAAAATTAGGGCTTGCTTGTGGTGATTTTTACCTTTATCTGTTTTAAAGTCTATTAAATCCATGCTGTGAAAGTGATATCATTTCCTCTCTCATATTTGTGATTTCAAGATAAAAGTAAGGGAGGTGTATAAGTCATAGATTTATTTAAAGGCCAATCTAGGTTCTTTTGTAACTATACCATGTACAGGCAGCTCAACATTCTTTTTTCAATAAAGAATTTAAAACAGTGTTACTGATCAAATTCACAGACAATACTAAAAAGGGGGTGGTGGCCACAACTGAGCAGCAGGTGCTCCAAAGTATCTGGACAGACTATGGAAGTGGGCAGAGGACAACAGGATGGTGTTCAATGTGGATACGTGCAAGGTCTTGCACTTGCCATAGGAATGGGTGTCATAAGTATAGGTTAGGGGATAAGTGGCTGGAGAGCAGCACTTGTGAAAGGAATCTTGGGGTACTGGTCAACAGCAGGCTAAACATGAGTCAGCAGTGTGACATGGTGGTCAAGAGGGTGAATGCCGCCTTTGGATGCATAGCCAGAAGCATGGCTGCTAGATTAAGAGAGGTCCTACTGCCACTCTAAACTACTATGATGTGCCTGCAACTGGAGTATTGTGTTCAGTTCTGGGATCCACATTACAGGAACGATATAGCCAGGTTAGAGTCAGTGCAGTGTAAGGCCACAAGGATGGTCGCCAGTTTGCAGGGGAAGCTGTATGAGGCAAGACTGGGTCTTTTCAGCCTGGAGAAGAGGAAACTCCAAGGGGATCGGTTGGCAACATACAGGTATGTGAGGGGGTGTCATACAGAGGTGGGTGGAGCTGTTTTCCCCTGCAGAGGAGGGTAGGACACTTTCCAGTGGAGCAAAGCTCAGGGAACCAAAGTTCAATTTGGATGCCAGGAAATACTTCCTGACAGTTAGGACCCCTAGGGTTTGGAATGGGTTTCCATGGGAGTTGGTTGAAGCCCCATTGGTGAGGGCATTCAAGGATAGGCTGGGCACGGACATGGTAGGCCTGTCATGACTGGAGTTGGCTGGAGCTGGGGGTCAGATTAGATGACCTGGGAAACCCCTTCTGACTCACTCTGTTTCTCTGTTTCTGTTAGCTTTTCAGATTGGAAGTTGGTTAAGTCCTTATCTGAAAGGGTGTGTGCATTGGACCTGGAAGGAAAAGGGACTTGTGCAGTGCGATCTCTCACTCTTAAAATACATGAAAAGTGGTCACACCAGGACATCTTCTCAATCATTACAGGGAGCAGGACATGGAGTAATGGACTGAAGTTATAGGAAGCCAGATTCTGGCTTTCAATATCAGGAAGAACTGTGTATTAGATTAATATGGCAATGGAACCAATTATTTAGGGAAGTTGTGGGCTTTCCCCCACTGTTGCATTCAAGATGCAGCTGGACAGCATCTGGACAGCAGTGAGGAGGGGGTTGGATCTGGTGGCTCCACTGTCTCCTTTTAACTCTACTGTGCTATGATTCTATATTGGGTTGTGGAACCTCTTGTAATCCAAAGGCCAAAGTCTGTTTTGGAGATGCTCTCAAGGGGTGCATTTCGATGATGGGCAGAGCACAAAAAAGGGAAAGGGACAATATGTCAAAAACACCCACATATTTTGGTTAAAGTTTTTATAACCAGCTAAGCCTTAGGAGAGAGAATTCAACTTTCTAGGTCAAGGAAAAAGCTATACAAAAACTGAAAAAACTACCAAATATATCAATGGTTGGAAAAAAGGGTGAGTGGGCCCTTAGGAAAACTTGGAGGGTTCAGCCAGGATCTTAGGAAGGTCAGATTTGGCCCATTGTCCTGAGGTTTCATACTTTTGTCTGCAGAGTTTCTATTTCATAAAGCTAAACAAATATTTAAATTTTGTTCTTTATATTTTCATAAAATATTTTTAAAAAAATATACAGGTGAATCAATGACCTTTGTGTCATTCCATTCTTGTAGAACAAATTCTTACTAATACAAATGCTGCCCTGTGCCTTTTCACTAAATTGTTCTCTGCTCTTTTCTTCATTCTATTTAATTTTCTCTAAATGGAGTTTCCTAGTATCTGGTTGAGAGGAAAGTGCTGAGGATGAATGAGGCACGTACAGGCAGAGGAAAGACATGATCCTCTCCTCCTG